AGGATAGGACTGCAATAGAAGAAAAAGCAAAAGGTACAATTTCTACGTGCTAAAATAAAAAAAATACTATAACTACAAGGAAGAAATACATCACAGTTACGAAAATACAGCAAATGTATTTGAAGACCAAATGCTGATCAGAATAAGGCTTCTAAATAAAAATGTCACAATCTCCAAGTTTTGCGCAAGTGGTTTGACTTCATATTCAAACTATTAGGTATAGATCTTTAGTATGACAGATTTTTTGATTAATAAATTACATTAAATATCTTTGTAGCTCAATTTTCGAATATAAAGTATATCTGAAATAATAAATAGGATTTTTTTAAATGCATTTCTTCCTTTAACTCTATTGTCTAAATTCGCAAAGAAATCATTTAGAAAGTGAACATAAAGTAGAAAAGAGAACATCTAAAGTAACGAAGATTTACAAGAAAGTTACACTTATAGATTTATAGAGGGTGTTTTGAAACGGAATAGTGCGATAGAAGCTAAGGAATTTCAATCATTTTGTTTAAAATATTTAGAAATTACTTACGAATTACAAAAATAATTACAGACATTGGTATTATAAATAAAAATTATATTTTTTTTTTTTATTATAATATAGCCAGTAACTTTTAATTCTCCCACAATTTTATAATTTTAGAGCATGCGCACATTTGACTAAACTATCGCACAACTGTTTAGTCGCGCTTTGATTCCAATTACCTTATATGGAGGTATAGTACTCGATTTTTAGTTGTGCAACTAAACAGTTGAATTGTCGAAACAATCGACAATCGCACAAGTTAGTTTAATCAAAGGTGTGCGCCCGCTCTTAGGGCCTGTCCCACAATTCTTGTTAATTGTCAGATAACAATCCGACGTATAAAATACGAGTAAGTGATGGAAGTATCGGATTTTAGTACTCTATGTGACAGTGACGTCATTCTTAAGCTATGTGAGCCTCTATCAGCCTGTGGGACAGGCCCTTAGTCTCCTAAACGTTATATAAATTCAAATAACATTAAAAGCAAAGTATATACAATATAGCGGTTATGTAGTATATAATCTGTACGAACCTTGTCTTTTAAAGGGTTTTTACGAGTTCAGTAATTTGTTTAGTAAAAGCACTTGTATGATGTTATAAATAAATATATCAGTCTTCGTACTTTGAATTAAAAACTATAAATACTTTTTCACGTTGGAAGTTATCATCATCATCTCCCCTGCCTTATCCTACTCCTGTAGGGTCGGCCGCACCTGGTTTTCGACCTCCAAAGCACTCTATCATCCGTCATCTCAGTCATCAATCCCTTCTTGATCCTGTCACCTTTCACGCAATCCATCCATCTCTTTCTAGGTCTACCTCTACCGGTGTACCTCCACATTCATAACTAACATCACGTTGAAAGTAATGAAGGACATTAATAATATAAATTTCACCGTGGATACGAACGTATCAAAAATTACTGTATTTATTTTTTTTAAAACATAGAAGTTAGTGAAAGTATATAAAATAATTATAATCTAGAATCGAATTTTATAATCTGTGACATTTTCTACAAAGTAGTTAAATGCGATTTAAAAATCTAATAAAAAAAATCATTAAAAAAAAGTCCAAATTATAAATGAAATAAATTAATCATGAAAATATTCAACAACAACGTAGAAAACTGAATAAAATAACTGCATATTTGTAACCAAATGGTAACGGTTACAAAGGAATTTAATAAAAATCCATCCTCCATCTATTCCGAAGTTGCG